ACCTTCTTCCTTTTTATCTCCCGCACCCCAATCATACCCATTCATATCACAGAACACACTTTGTGGGAAATGCTGAGTTAACCAGTTTTTTATTGCTGGGTAGTGAGGTTTTCCAATTCTTCGCTGCCATAAATAACACTGCGGTGAACATTCTTAAGCCACTGGCTTTGCACACATGTTAGATTCTCTCTTTAGGATAAATTCCTTGGGGTGGAATCATCGAACCAGAGGTTCTGTTCCTTTTTGTGCACACAATAGATCCTACGTTGGTTTTACAAATACTAGGTAATCACAGACTCATAAAACATCAGGGTTGGAAGGGACCCGAGTGAAGCACCATCCCAAGCCCTCCTGCAGCACCAGGCAGACCAGGACCGGAAGCCAGGTTAGTGCGTTTCTCATAGCTACTCACTTGGAGGAAAGACGTCCTGGAGGGAAGTTGGGGTGGCATCACTGGTAACCCCATCTGCATCTGCTGGCTCAAGCCACTTACCTCTCCTGCCTTGTGGGCTTTCTCTTTCAAGCCAGCGTGTCATATTTAAGCCACGGGAGTTTACCAAGAATAAAATGGCAAGGGAGCTGAGATCCAATGTGGCACCCACTCTTCCCCTTAAAGCACAGCCAAGATCTCAGAGAAGTGCCCAAAGGCACCTTGCATGTGCATGTACACATGTGCACAGGAGTGCACTCATGCAGGGATTGCTTTAGGGAGCTTAGGATGGGATGCACACATGATGCCATGTGAAAATTGATTTCCTTGCAGCACAGCTCTGACCTTGTGGCTTAGATCAGAAAGGATTGGGCAGGAAGTCGTGTGAATTAGTTCCCACACGTGCCCACTGCTTGTAATAGAACTGGCCTCCACTTGGGGAGGGTCTGTGTTTGCAAGATTGTTGGTAGGAGGTAGCGAGCAGCTCAGGTCACTGACCTGAGCAGCCTAGGGCAAGGGAGCAAACCAGAGACCAAGGAAACTCAGGGCAGATTCAGGAGCTGGGGCACCTGCCATCTGGCCCTTGGACAGGGACCAATGCATTCCTGGAGTCTCCCTGGTGTCCCTATCCATGGTGTATTTGATTTGAACAAACCCCAGCTTTCCTCAAGAGGGAAAAAGGGATGAGCCTCCTGAGATGCCTTTGACTTTAATTTGGGGAAAAATAACATCATATCCCTGTCCTAAGACACATGTCACCACATCAGAGCGATGTGAACTTAAAAGAGTTCTTGATGTCTCAGAGAAAGCCTTCCCACATCCTTCCACACCCGTCTGGTTCCTCTACCCTACCCTGACGTCTTCTACCCAATGACGGAGATATTATTAATGGGATGGGAAGTGGGCTGGCAAAGAAGTCTTCATCAGGGGCCACCAGAGCCGCCCTATGGAACCACCATCCAGGATCTCTTGGGGCTCTAGAGAGTCCTTGGATTTCAGGTTGGGGTTTGCCAGGAAAGGCAGTGCACCAGGGTTTAGGATATAGGAACTCTTTCTAGTCTACATGAGAGTCACACTGAGCCTGAGATCAGCTCTAGGGCTGGAGACAATGTCCTTATCTCTTCCTTCCATAGTACCTACCCCCAGCACTGCTTATGTATCATGGATTCCAAACAGGTTTGTTGAATGAAGAAGTGAATGATTCACTTCAAGTTGTGTAGGCTTTCTTGGTCCATTGGTGTGGACACACGTGTACGTGTGTTGACCTTAGTTTCCAGCCCTGATAGATACTGGAGGATTGCATGGTGAAGCAGGACAGGACATAGGATGCCTCTCCAAGGTTAGAACCCCTCTCCCTGGTGTCATAGACATGTGACCACTGCTGGTCCAGTAAAACCTCTCCTCCCCCTGCCCAACTCCCATCTCCTGACTTTACATGCGAGGAGAGGAGGTAGTGTCCCTGATAGGGACTGCAGTGTTGTTCCTCTGTTGAAGCCTGGGGAGGTGGGGAGGTGGCCCTAGACGTTCCAGGGAAATCCACATCCCCTCCCATAACTTCTGCTCTTCCTCTAATGGCTTCTAGAGAAGACTTTTTGCTGCTCCTTATAAACTGACTACCAGGGCCCTGGTGGTTTTAGGTTCTGGATTTAGCTTGTAAATGTAAATCCCGGGAGACCTCCTGCAAGGAGTTACCACCATTATCCTCAGTTATCCCATCTCTCAAATAGGTGTACCCACTGATCACCTCCTTGAATAAAAGGATGAATTTGGAAGGATTGTGTGTACTCTAGAGAATCCCTAGGCTCTGAGCTGCTGCACATCATGGGCATTGAGCCAGCAGGGCCTTTGAAGGCCTCCCAGCTCTGTTCTTTTCTTGTTTTATGAGCTGTAAATCATCAAAGATTCAGGCCTTGATCCTTTTAGACATTGCGACTCACCCTGTGTACCCCTACCCAGATCCCTCCTTTCTAATTTATGGATTTTTACGTAAAAAAAGGGCTATAAACAGACGTCTCTAAAATGAGGTTCCATTCTTTAAATCAAATTCCAGGCCAGCAGTATCACGTGGGTAAAGGATAATTCTCCCCTCCTGGTGAGGGGTCCCTATCAGAGGAGATTAAGCTTGTAATGTCGAATAAAGCTTGATCATTATGTCCTCTTCGCTGCCTCCCCACGTAATTTAAAAGCAACATAAGTTTCTTCTAGGTTTGAACAAAAATCCTTTCAATCTGATCTCTTGACTTAATCATCTTCGGTTAAAAGTGAAATTGGAGCAAATGACAAAAACAAAAACAGGTTGGTACACCAACAGTTCATGGGAAACCCAGGTCGGTACTTCCCCTGAGACATCTGGATGTGTGTGCATGTGTGTTCAGATAATAGTAGAGTCAGAAAAGTTCTTAGTTTCCTACTAATGTCCAGTGACTGGGGAAAAACATATTGAAAACTCCATATATTAAAAAGAAAACACTTTGGAACTAACGTCAAAATAGACTAGTTCCAGAGACATGAAATGTCTTATACTTTGTAAATGTCTTTGTAAATATCTTACATGCTTTGTAAATTAAGGAAAGATAAAATTATGTTGAATGAGAATAACACCTCAATTTATCATTTAATTCTATATTGTAGCCATATAAAGAAGAATGAGGTGGAAAGGGGGAATCTGAAAACAGGAGGAACATTCTAGAAGCCAGGGAGGGGAGGTGGAGAATGTGGGGAGAGAAAGAGAGGATGAGATAGGGACAGAGACTCATTCATTTATTCCCCATTTACTTAGCACCTATTGGATGGGAAGGTGGACCTGGGAACATGCATATTTGATCTAGAGAGTTCTAGGCTCCAAAGTGCCTCCCATCACAGGTGCTGGGATCATTCACCATGGGTTAATCTCCATGGCCTCTCCCCACTGAACCAGGGTAGATGGATAAAGAAATCAGCCCATAGATGAAGCAAGGATGGGACCTGAGGGCGGCAGAGGTGGGAGACAGACCCCTGAGAGGGATGTGCTAAGTCCGAAGGTGCTATGTGAAGAGTCTCTGGGCATCATCCCCTGTTAATAGGTACCCTCCCTGTGATTCTGATAGAATATATCCTGGGCTGAAAGTGAAGAAAGGCAGGACACCTGGGTAGCTTAGTGGTTGAGCGTGTGCCTTTGGCTCAGGTTGTGTTCCTGGGGTCCTGGGATTAAGTCCCACATTGGGCTCCCTGTAGAGAGCCTGCTTCTCCCTCTGTGTCTTTCATGAATAAATAAATAAAATCTTTAAAAAAAAAAAAAGAAAGTGAAGAAAGCCTCCTCCATTGGGTATTTTAAACCTCAGCTTCTTGCTTTAGGTTCCACGTTCTACAGAACCATTAAAGTTATAGATGGGGTCAGCTGTTATTATGAGGTTCTCCATACCACTGATAATGATAATTTTATGACTATTTCCCCCAGATTGCTTCCTTGGTGTGATACACTCTGTTCAGCCCTGCCCACAGACTTTGGCCCACTCTACAAATAACCACACCTCCATCTGTACCTTCAGGGGACGGTTCTTGTATACCTTAAGTCTTCCTTCTTAAGGCTTTGCCTCTCTCTGCCCAAGGGTTTTATCTCACTCTGGTGTGTTCTTAGCCTGTGCTGGAGCTGACCAGAAGCACCAGGGAGTGAATTGTTAGGAGAGTCACCAAAGCAGACAGATTGCTATAAGGTAGTGAAATGGCCCAACCTCCTTGCCTCCTGAATGGACAGTTTTGAGGTACCTTTCTTTCAGCCTTTAATAGGTCCCTGAGAGGATTGAGACCTGGTCACTCACCATGGATGGCGACACACTGGATCAAGTACTTGGGTTTTCTTCCCAGTCATGCTCTCCACACATCCTCACAGAGCCTCCCAGAATCACACCCAAATGAATTGTGCCCAAAGCCTTGTCTCAGGCTCTACTTAGGAGGGACCTAAACTAAGACACTTTTTCTTTTTTAAAAAATATGTCTCATATCCTTGTGTAAATTCTCCAATACAACCAAGATGTCTGCCAGTAAGAAAAAGGGGCGGGGGGGGGGGCTCAACAGAACCTTATCAAGAGTCAGGGAAAAAAGAAACAAACAAAACACAGCAAGGTGAAAAGCAAAGGGAAATTTAATAATAGCCTGACAAGCTCTCTCTCCACCATCCATCCACAGTTCTTATAATTCAGATGCCCACTTGATACCCGCCAAGCCAGTAGATTTCTTACATTTCATTATTAAAACAATTTATGAACATTTCCTTAAACTTGATCTGGGGTCCACCATTATTGTCCCCCCCCCTCCCCCGGCCGCATTTTGGTCTCTGCCATCAGGGGACACAGAACTTCCCACAGCCACAGGATGGCACCATTCACTTGCATCACATCCCCTAATGTTTGAATTTGGCTTTCCAGTTGACCACGTGCTTCCACACAGTGTCTTGTTTGAGCTGAGTAACCACCCCGTGATGCAGGCAGAACACATTGTTCTCTTCTGTGGTTAAGGACACAGAGGATGCCATCGAAAGATGAATGGATGAAGAAGATGTGGTTTATGTATACAATGGAATATTCCTCAGCCATTAGAAACGACAAATACCCACCATTTGCTTCAACGTGGATGGAACTGGAGGGTATTATGCTGAGTGAAGTAAGTCAATCGGAGAAGGACAAACAGTGTATGTTCTCATTCATTTGGGGAATATGAATAATAGTGAAAGGGAATATAAGGGAAGGGAGAAAAAATGTGTGGGAAATATCAGAACGGGAGACAGAACATAAAGACTCCTAACTCTGGGAAACGAACTAGGGGTGGTGGAAGGGGAGGAGGGCGGGGGGTGGGGGTGACTGGGTGACGGGCACTGAGGGGGACACTTGACGGGATGAGCACTGGGTGTTATTCTGTATGTTGGCAAATTGAACACCAATAAAAAAATAAATTTATTATTAAAAAAAAAAGGACACAGAGGATGGCGGGTGGCAAATAGTTTGACCTACATCACAAAACAAGGACATGCCATCCACAAGCCTACTATCCCTACATTCTCATTCCCAGGCCAGGATGCTTTCCACAACACTCCATTCTCCCTGCAAAGAGCAACTTTTACAAATCCATTCATTTACTTGTTCTTTCACCAGATGCTCAACAGTGATTTTTGATTTGGGTAATTCAAACTAACATTTCCCCCCTGAAACAGCCTATTCTCAGCCGGAAGGAGGCTCCATCCCAAATTGCTCTCAAGATACGTTTTTCCCTCCCTGTTAAATAGTTGACACCTTTTGTTATACAAATTCACCCCTTGTATTCCTAGTCCTTGCAGGCATTCCTGTTTACAAAGTGAGTTCCAGACTCTGGATTCCAGAGATGGCCAACCTGAGGAACCCCTTCTCACAGGTAAGACCCAATCCTCAAGCCTCCTCCTGCCTGGGCCAGGGGGCTGCCTGGGTGTCCCCCCCCGGCTCCTGCTCTCTGGCCCTCTCTGAAGCAATAGCCATTCCTGGAAATCCACTCGCAGCCTCCACCAACCTCTCAACAAGGAGTGTTTATGGCTGCAGCCCTGCAGCTGGGAACCATAAGGCATGAATGAACGTGTGTCCATATCTTGGAGCCGATTTTTGTCAGGAATGTACTAAACACTTCATAAATTAAGTCCTTGGCTGTCAAGCTACCTCTGATATTAGATTAGTCATTGCTAGCCATTCTCCATGCAAAACCCAGGGGACAGATGCACCGGATGGTGCCGGAGTCTTTCTTCCTTCCTTTCTTTTTTTTTTTTTTAAATGGAAAATGTGTGCAGAGGAATGAGTCACCCTGTCCATGCTATACAACTGCAGATGTACGCAATGGACATTCCTTCTGGTTTTCCCAACACCCTATCTTACTGTCCTTCTTCCAACACACTGTGTGTGCGGAGTGGCTATTGGTGGAGTGTGAGAGGCTGACCACCACCCCGGATGTTCTGGATTTCTCTCAGGTTTTGTGTGTGCTGGGCACCGTTGTCAAGGCTTTCTACATTTAGAGGAATTCAGTGCTTAGGATGATCTTATGAGGGAGGCGGCACTATAATTTTTCCCCATCTGACAGCCTAGTGAGCCAAAATACTTGTGTAACTTGTCCAATTGGGGTCACGTAATTAGTTCTTAGCAGAGCTGGGATTCATTAGGCATGCCATGCTCTGAGCCAGCACAGTGTTGTCCCTGCCCCACTACCTGTGTCAGACTCATAATCACAGTACTCTGCTGGCACATGGGCAGAAGATGCTGGGCTGGGGACACTAACCTGAGTTCTTGAGTGTCTACCCATTGGTTTATTAACCTTTTTAGCAGTTTTTTTTTTTAATATAATATATTTCATGTATTAAGTAATTCTATATTCCAATATATAAAGTGATTCGAAGAAGACCTTCTCTGGTTGACCAGGAGACAGGGGCACCGAATCCCGAGATCCCCTATGTCTTGAGGTGGCCCCTTTGAGACATTCTTAAAATCAGAATTCTTTCATGTATATTTAGAAGAGGTGCTGATGTTCAATGGGAAGAAGGGCAAAGAAGGGTGGTGATAGTGGGTTTTCTTCTATTTTCTAGAACTATTTGGCGCCAGCCACCAATCTGCATGAATCTCAATGTGTGACACTTAGTTAAATGACAGCAAAGGTTGAAACAAAATGTGTGGCGCCGGACCATGGAATGTGTCTGTGTCATTTGAACCACATGTGGAATGAGACTAGCTGGAAGGAAAAAAAAATGTTGGTAACTCAGGTATACTGTGTTTTTCTGAAATGATTTACTAAGAAAGGTACAGTGATAGATACATACGGTCTATGGACAGACAGCTGCTCTTAAAAGCTCTGACATTGAATTCTCCAGTATTCACTTTTGCCTGCAAGTGACAGGAATGTAAAATAAACTAGCCCAAGCAGAAAACAGGGATTTATTGACTTTTACAAGCAGGAAGCAGTGGTTGATCTGGCCTGGGCCCCATAAAGACCAGAGGCTCCAACGTTATATCTATTTCCCCTCAGCCTCTTTCCTGTTCTCTCTCCTTGGACAATGCTTCCCAGTGTGTACTAGCCAGTTGCCCTATCTTAGGGTGGTTGACCTGCACACACCTAGAGTAGGTGGCTACCGATTGCCCATTTTTCCTACATTAAGATCCTTGAGACAAGAATCAGACTCTCTCACTGAACTCCATCCAACAGGGAAGTCTTAGTGGGAACCTGTTTGGCTCAGACTGAGATACATGCCCAGATCTGAACGAGTCCCTAGAGCCAGTGGTTCTCCTGACTGACTCACCTGGGTCACACACTTGTCCCTGTGAGAGGGCAGTGGGTACCATGATTTCCATCCTGTCAGAAGCACAATAAGTAGGAAAGGAATGATCCCGCAAAGGAAAGGAGGCAACATCATATATTCTTTATAAATCTTGTAAAGACATTCTATGACTTGGGTCACAAAAGGACCTCATTCTCTAATTTATCAATTCATTTATTCATTCATAAAATCTCTGTGGATATTTATTGTGTTCTGTAGGCCCAGAGACCCTACATTCATGCTTTGGTATCTGTATTAGGTTGCTAGGACTGCTGTCCCAAGGTACCATACACTTGTGAGGCTTGAAGAACACAAATGGATTGTCTCATAGTTCTGGAGGCTAGAAGTTTAAGATCAAGGTGTCAGCAGGGCTGGTTCCTTCTGAGAGCCATGAGGGTGAATCTGATCCTGGCTTCTGTCACACAGCCTCTAGTGTCTTGGTGGCAATCTTTGGTGTTCCTTGGATTGTAGAAGCATCTCCCCAATCTCTGTCTCCATGCATACATGGTGTTCTTCCCATGTGCATATCTGCTTCCAAATTTCCCCTTTTTATGAGGACATCAGTTGTATTGGATTAGGGCCCAACCTAACGACTTCATTTTAAGTACCTACATAAATATCCTATTTCCAATCAGGACACATTCTGGGGCATGGGTTAGGACTTCAACATATGAATCTTGGGAGACACAAGTGAGCCCCTAACAGCATCCTAGCAAGAGGATAAGTCAAAGTAGGTAAGGACGGTGCACAGGGAAGGCTTCTGGAAGAAGCTCAGGATCAGATTTTCTAGCCCTTTACTTCCCAGATGATCATAATTCAGGGGGAAGGGAAATAGGTTCCCATTGGGTTATTGAGGTTGAAACTAGCAGAACATTTAAAGCCTATTTTTTTCAGAGAACTGTTTCTCCCTAATGAGCTAGTGTGTCTTTTCAGGGACCCCACTAGCAAATCCACTAGCTGTCTCTGCAGAAGCCTGGACTCAAGGTCAACTGATACAATTCTAGCCTAAGAAAAAGCAAGGCCCTGCATTTCTTCCCAGAGAAGGAGTTCAAGACCCCATCCAGTTTATACCAGCTCTTGGAGCATACACATAGCCCCTTCTTCTCTTAAGGTGACCGCCTGACATCAGGAGGGGCTAGATATTGCCTTGTTCTGATGTTAAGTCTCCATCCCAAAGTGAACATGGGACATATGTTACATATGTGTTTGCTTGATGCACATACTCCATCTTTCCTTATGAATGATCATAAGTTTCCCTACCCCTTTCATCAATATGCATATAACCACCTAACCTGAATTTCCCCTTTACAAATCCTGCTCCTTAACCTAGAACCTTGGAGATAATCATTGGACATCAGTCAGCCATCTCCCCAGGTTGCCAGCCTCCTGAATAAAGCAACCTTCTTTCCTTCCCCCCAACAATTGTGTTCTCTCTCAAATGTTGGCTTTCAAGTGGTGAGCTATTGAACTTGGTTTCAGTAACAATGTCATCATTAACTTCTTCAGCTCAAATTATCAGCTCAGCTCATGGCTATTGTTGGGCCAGCGGGATCAAAGGGGATGGGGAGGCACCAACAAAATGGCGACAGACCCTCAATCTTGTTATCCTTGCCTCAGAACTTTCCCACCACCAGCAGACCGCCCAAGGACACATCATCATGGGGAGACAGGACCTATGCTGGAAACAGGAACCGCACCTTACCCAAACCCCCATATAAGGGCATAAGCATTTATTGCCCCATACCAATTCCACCAGTAACATGCCCTAATACCTATCACCTTGTACAGACACACAACCCCTCACCCCTCCCCTTAAAAAGCCCGCTTGTACTCCCCTGGGCACGGCTTCCCCAGCCCTGCAACTTCCCCAGCTTCGCTCCCTTGCGGGACCGTGGAACCTTGCCCAAGAGCACATCCATTAAAAGCCTGCCTCGACTAACTTTTGCCTGGCCTCTCTATTTCACTTCACTACCAACCGGATCAAATCTGACAGCTATCTTACCAGGGCATGGTCAAGCATCTTTTTTCCTGTTGGAACATCAAGAACCAATCACCAGATAACTTGTTCCAAATATCCTGAGGAAGGCTAGAGCTAAAATATACTAGTTTTGCTGGCTCACCAAGGCTGGCTACACATGTGTCTTCCCAACTCCACCTTTCAAAAAGTCACATTGAGAGCTTGAAATTGGCCATGATGGGACTCTTTACATGATGGGTTCAGTCAATGTGACAAAGCAAGGCTCTTTACTGGCTCCGCCACCTCTCCCAGAGCTGGATGCTAAACACACCACTTAATTGCCTGGTGTCAGTTCCTGTTTTTATCCAGGACATCTTGATTACAAGAAACAGACACCTGTTAAAATAAGTTCATGTGAGAGGGAGTTTGATTATAAGGGTGCAGATCTCAGAAATACCCACATCTTCTAGCTTTAGGAGGCTGTTGTAAGTTCATGGACCATCACCTTAGTGTGCAGCCACCAATCTTTGTGACTAGCAGTTCCCCCATCTTTGTATTTCTCAGTTCACAGTCTTGAGTGAGTGAGCTTGATCCATGGACAATCCATCCAGCAAGGATTGGGGCACAGCAGGAGAATGGTGCAGAACAAACAGGGCACCAAGGCTGTGTGAATATGGGTTGAGGTAGGGAGACAGTGATTGGTCTATCTCATGAATGTGGCCCTTATTTACCTCATCAGCTCTAAGTCCCTACTCTTCACTTTGGATCCTAATCTCCAACAGTACATGAGTACTCGGTTCCTGCTTGCACTGCATGCTAGCTCATGTCTGCATCTTTGCAGATGCTGCCCTAGCTCATGACTGGGGTTCCTCTCAATGTCTGTCTCAGTTGTATCCCTTCCTGATGGAGGCCTCCTGGATTACCTTTCTGTATAACAACAGCTATGTCACCCTACTGGTGAATAGTAATAAATGGTTACTTCTTGAGAGTCTGCAGGGTTCAGCTGTTCTGGACTGGGCATAGCTGGGCAGTTCTGCTGCCCTCATCTGGGTTCATTAATTGTTCCTGGCTCAGCTGTAGGCTCTCTTCTAGGCTGGCTAGTTGGAGGCCCCGTAGCTAGAGCAGCTCCCCCACACAGGCTTCACCTGCTCGAGGTATGAACAAGCTAGCCAGGGCATGTCCTCCCTAGAATAATGGTAGAAGAGCAAAAGTGAGCAAAACCAATCACACAAAACCTTCTCAAGATGCTATTATATTGGATCTGCAAAGATTCCGATGGCCAAAGCAAGTGACATGGCTGAGCTCAGAGGTGTAGAATTAATGCCTCATACCCAGTGTTAGGGCAGTGCATAGTTTCAGGGCAGAGGGTTTGGATACAAGAAGGTGAAAAATGGGGCCATTAATTCATCAAGGACATCTACGAACACAGGCCAGGTTTTGTGTCTAGAGTACTGTTGGGACACTTTTCCAATTGACTTAATTACGCTGATAATTGAAGCCAACATAGTTTCTTATTCCTGAGTTAAATAATACAGAAACCAAGCAAAAGTAAGCTGCTTTCTCTAGGAACATCTGTTCTTGCAAGATAACACTGAGAATCAACCACACTGTGTGCTTATATACTTATCCATAATGACAGTTTGCTCATCAAGACTTGCTTCACATCCCTCCCTTTGCTGTGCCCACCAATCCAAAAACTGGGCACGGCTTCTTCTCAACTTGTTCTCTGCCTTGCAAGTCTCCTTAAAATCCCAACTTGTTCTCTGCCTTGCAAATCTCCTTAAAATCCCAACTTGTTCTCTGCCTTGCAAGTCTCCTTAAAATCGCTCAGCCTGAAAAATTAAAAAAAAAAAAAAAAAAGGGATCCCTGGGTGGCGCAGCGGTTTGGCGCCTGCCTTTGGCCCAGGGCGCGATCCTGGAGACCCGGGATCGAATCCCACGTCAGGCTCCCGGTGCATGGAGCCTGCTTCTCCCTCTGCCTGTGTCTCTGCCTCTCTCTCTCTCTCTCTCTCTGTGACTATCATAAATAAATAAAAATTAAAAAAAAAAATCGCTCAGCCTGATCCTTAAAACCCAGGATATATTCTCTCCTTATTTCTCCACTTTGAGTTACTACCAGGACTCTGCATCAGAGCTATTAATCTAGTTTTGCTTAATCAACAGATTAAGCAAGCTCCTTATGTGTGTAAAAGCAGGGCATAGGGGATCCCTGGGTGACTCAGCGGTTCGGCACCTGCCTTTGGCCCAGGGCACGGTCCTGGAGTCCCAGGATCAAGTCCCACATCGGGCTTCTGGCATGGAGCCTGCTTCTCCCTCCTCTTGTGTCTCTGCCTCTCTTTCTCTCTCTCTAAGTCTATCATAAGTAAATAAATAAATATTTAGAAAAAAAAAAAGCAGGGCGTAAATCTCCCTTTGAGTAAGACACTTCACCCCACCACTCCTGCCCCCCATATCAGAAAAGAGCAGATTTTTGAAAATAACTTATAGTACATTTTTCAAGCCAAGTATCTTTTTTTATTTTATTTTATTTTTTTAA